ATTGTGTCATTATACCATGTGATTGCATGTGTCATTATACCATGGGGGCATTTTGTGAGGTTAGATGTATATTTGCTATGGATCATGTGATTGTGTCATTATACCATGTGATTGTGTCATTATACCATGTGGTCATTTTGTAAAATTAGATTGTTGTTATTGGTTGTCTTTAAAACATTTGTTTTCAGTAGTTGAACATGCAACTTTATTTTTTTCTGCTACATGTTTATTTTGTGGTGTGAAGGTGTATCCCCCAGTAGTTAGTTTAGTATTTGTCCAAATTTTTTCTTCATTTCTTGTATCCATGGCATCATTTCATGTTTTCAATTTTTTATCTTCACGTAGGAATGCCAGAGAAAAGCTAATGAGGGTAAATTCCGTCTGCGAGACCTCCTAAGTGTTCCTATGCAGAGGATTTTGAAGTATCATCTTTTGTTGCGAGTGAGTAATTAGTATACTGGACAAGTAATCGTACCATAAACAAAACTATATAACTTAGATTTGATAACTAATGGGGAATGCATGGCTTGTTTTTGATGATTTCAGGAATTAGAGAGACACACAGACAAGTCACACCCTGATAAGAACCAATTACAGTATGCATTGACATCTATGCAGGTAAGATTTAGAAAGCTGTGTGTGTGTGTGAGTGAGTCAGTGACTTGGAGACTAGGTGGACTTGTACATAATAATTATCATATGCCATATACACATATATTTTTCGCTTTTACAAATTGTTTTGTTTTAAATATGATGTATTTATTGACTCTAATGTGTGAAGCACATAATGGGAGTATTTGTGGTTACTATGTATGTGTGTGTGTGTGTGTGTGTGTATGTCGAACCACTAATGAGGTTTCCTTGAAATTTTCACATATGGACCTTCGAAAATACGCAGACATGATTACATTAGAGTTTAACAATGTGCAAAAATTATAAAATTTTCTGATATCTGAATACCAGTTCACAGATTATAATAACAAATTGCTTTTCATTGCAGGACTTGTCTATGTATGTAAATGAGGTGAAGAGAGACAATGATACACTTCAGACAATCACAGAAATTCAGAAAACGTGAGTTACTATTAATTTAACATTACACGTGTATGATATATAGAACTGCAAATGTTTGTCTGGTATATTCTATTTTGCCAAAAAAAAAAAACTTATGTTGCCCTCAAGTCGGAAAATTGTAAAAATTGGGTCGGTCGGTTATATTTTTTTTTAAACTCGTGAAAACTAAGGGTATCGTAAATAGCTGAGGTATATGGGGGGGGGGGGG